TACCTCACCAGATCTTATGGTAAATTTGCATGCTGAAAGCAATTTAAGTAATACGCAAAATACTCACCCATTTTTTTAATGATACTTAATATTTTTGTCTTCTTGTTTTCCTCTAAACCCTCTTCCTCAAGAAAGTCCTCAACAATCTTCTCCTCAGATGGATCTCTGCGTACCAAAGTTGCATCAGGAAGATTAGGAAATGGAGTCGACAGAAAATTCAAAGGGGAAAATGGTTTATAAACAATAATAAAGAAATAAAAAGAGCAAAGGGAAGGAACACAGAAATCAGTTAATTAGACATTATAATTATTAAGAAAACAAATTTTCAATTACCAAGGTCCTGGACAGGAATGTGAGTTTCACGCATTGACACTATTAAGAGTGATTTACAAAAAGAGTACCGCTCACAATATATGAAAAAATTTATATGAAACATTTTGTAGTATTCATTCATTGACCGATAAAAGTTCTACATGCAATTTTGTACAAACTCAACCAGCAGTTCATACCAAAAGCTAGTTAATAGACAATACATAAATATTTTAGGCACATTTTGATGCAAGAGTAATGACATATGCAAAGGGGTAGAGCCAAGACATATAAAACCAAACATATTAAGAAGAGAAATACAAACCTCAAGTACTTGTAGTCACCTGCAATAAGCATCCAGTACATGAAATTATTTTTAATTTCAATAAAAGCCATTTGGAAATAACATATAATAAACAAGATAACAATGAAAAGCATTCCAAAAGAATGATCTCTGAAGTAAATATTGAAGTGTATACACATGCTTACTGCTATAGTAAAGCCCGCATAAAAGAGAGTGAAAAGTTTGATGATTTAGAAAGATAATTCTACACAGATGTACCCCAGCATGATTAAAAAAAGTATTTAAAAAAAAATAAAAATTCACTACTTCTATGAACATTTTGCCTTTGCATTCCTACCACATGAACTGAGTCACTAATTACTACCCAATAATCCATAAATCAAATTTAGGAGCAAACATAATCATGTTTAAAAATTAGAATCAAATAAGTATGGGATATCTTGAATGCTATAAGTAAGAGAGAGTAATGAGTTGACCTATATCATGGAGAAGTGCAGCAAGCTCAACCTGTCAAAATAAACAAAGTGAAAAAATTAAGAGAAGAAGGAATATTAAAGTTAAAGTTCAAAAATTTGCTCAATAAAATAGAATTTAAAGATTAAGAAACAGTGAAAAAGATGATGAGGGGGAGGGGTTTTACGATTTCCATGGAGTCGGGGTGGGAAGAAAGGCCTTCCTCGCGAGCAAGAGAGAGGGCGAGGTCTCTAACCCTCCAAACGTGAGATGCATCGTGGGAGGCGTCGTTCCCTTTCATGCATCTTTCAACCAGTTTCTCTGCATTTCCCACTGTGCTTCCCATATCTGTTAGAGGACGAAAAGGCTGCGCCCTCCTTCGATGTTTTGGACTACTACTGACTGGCTGGTGAAAGTTTACCAAAACCCGTCTTGAAAGAAGAGGATTCTTTAAAACTTTAACGTTTGGTATTGGTGCTAAATGTAACGATATTATCCACTAGCCCGCCAGAATTGACCGAGGCATTATATATATCTAATCTTAAATAAAAAAAAATAAAAAAATCAACCTAATTCAACAATTCAACTTTACTCACTAAAAAAGGTTTAATTCATTTGAATTTTTTCCCTTCTGATGTTGGGACTGATTTGAACCCAACTTACAACCATCAGTTCATCTTGCATTTGGATATTTCATGAAAATATTTCCAATAGATATTTTCATAGGGCATTAATTGCTTATTCTAATGTGGGTAAATTATTTGTAAAGATTGTTTTTATTTTTTTCCCGTTTTAAGATTTTTTTTTCTCAATTTGAATAATTAAAATTGTGTTCCAAAAGGAAAAAAAAAAATAAAAAAATAGAGGGCAAATTGCACATTGAAGATTATTAAGCTCTGTTTTAAAAACTGGACCGGACTGGCTGGTCAAACAAGGACCTAGCAACTTCTCTGGTTCGGTTCAGGTTTTAGGAGGGTTTTTGTAATATTTTAAAATTATAAGGGTTAATAAATTTTATAGGGGTGTTTTGGCGATATGTCAAAAGTTTAAGGATTAATTGGGTATTTTAAATAAATAAAAATTTTAGGGATTAATTTGAACTTTTTTAGGGGAATTTTTGTAATATATTAAAATTTAAGAGCTTAATATGTAATTTTTTAAAAATAAAATTGTCGCTGATGTCATCAGTCCAACCGACCGGTCCAACCGGTTGGACCAGTTGACCCGTGACCTGGGCATCAATACAAGTTGCTCTTCGGTCCAGGTTTTAAAACAATGTTATTAAGTAGTTAGGTTTTAAAAAAAATAATTAGTTGAACCACATTTATAGAATTTGTAGTGTGTTATAAGCACCAAAAAAATAAAAAATAAAAATACATTAAAATTTTAAATGAAGTATATTAAATAGAACTTCTTTAGTTTAATTCTATGAGATAAATTGAACCACTCATTTTTTTTTTTTTTTTTTTTTAAGAGACTGTGGTGTTATTTGAAGTCACAATATATAGAAAAATTTGGACCGACATATGATTAAGGGGGCGTTTAGTTGAAGGTAATATAAGATACTGAGATTATGTCATCTTATATTACTTGATTATCATGTTTGGTTATCAAGTAATATAAAATTCCGATAATCTTGTATTACCAATAGTTGTTAAGTTGTTACTGTTGACAATATTAGAAATAATCTGATTACCTCAATTTTCTTAGGTATTAGTAATCTTATTTTTGTTACAATTCTATCCCTTATTAATAAAAATTTTAGACAATAATAACCCTATTTAAAATCAATTTACATTAATATATTATTTCAATTTTATCCTTGTTTAATTAAGTTTTTAGACAATAATGTCCTTATATTTAAAACAAATTACAAACCATCACCGCCATCCAGCCACCACCGTCGACAGTGGGCCAACCACCACGGACCGTCGTCGAAAAGTCATCAGAGTCCCTAAAAATGACCGAGAGTCGCTGGGAGGCTTCGATATGACCGTTTATGGCCATATTAATGGTCGAAAATGGCCATATCAGGCCAGATCTTGCCCAAATATGTAATGGCCAGGGATTTAGCCGTCAAAGGCATCTGGTCGCTAATGGCCAGCTCTGGCCTCATATGGCCGTTTTCGGCCATCAATATAGCAAAAAACGACCATAGCAAAGCCTCGTGGTCAGGGTGAGCTACTCACGACAACTTTCAGAGACTTCTAGCTGTGATTTGCGGTGGGCGCAAGCAACGACAAAGGGTGTGATGATTTTGTTATAAATTAAAGTTTTATATAAACGGTAGCTAAATCTGAAATATTGGGGGTTAAAAAAAATTATTCAAAAATTAATAATAAAAATAATATTATATTAATATTTAAAAAGAGGGCAATTTAGTAATTTAAATAACATACCCACCAATTTATTCTTCATAAACAAACATATTAATATAACATACCCACCAACTAACCAAATACATTTTTCTAAAGATTCCCAGTAATCTTCAAGGTAATATAAGATTTTAATAATCTAACATTCCCTATAATCTAACATTCCCTGAACGAAACACACCCTAAGAACATTCGACTGAAAGAGGAAGGGGGCTNTTAGGGGAATTTTTGTAATATATTAAAATTTAAGAGCTTAATATGTAATTTTTTAAAAATAAAATTGTCGCTGATGTCATCAGTCCAACCGACCGGTCCAACCGGTTGGACCAGTTGACCCGTGACCTGGGCATCAATACAAGTTGCTCTTCGGTCCAGGTTTTAAAACAATGTTATTAAGTAGTTAGGTTTTAAAGAAAATAATTAGTTGAACCACATTTATAGAATTTGTAGGGTGTTATAAGCACCAAAAAAATAAAAAATAAAAATACATTAAAATTTTAAATGAAGTATATTAAATAGAACTTCTTTAGTTTAATTCTATGAGATAAATTGAACCACTCATTTTTTTTTTTTTTTTTTTTTAAGAGACTGTGGTGTTATTTGAAGTCACAATATATAGAAAAATTTGGACCGACATATGATTAAGGGGGCGTTTAGTTGAAGGTAATATAAGATACTGAGATTATGTCATCTTATATTACTTGATTATCATGTTTGGTTATCAAGTAATATAAAATTCCGATAATCTTGTATTACCAATAGTTGTTAAGTTGTTACTGTTGACAATATTAGAAATAATCTGATTACCTCAATTTTCTTAGGTATTAGTAATCTTATTTTTGTTACAATTCTATCCCTTATTAATAAAAATTTTAGACAATAATAACCCTATTTAAAATCAATTTACATTAATATATTATTTCAATTTTATCCTTGTTTAATTAAGTTTTTAGACAATAATGTCCTTATATTTAAAACAAATTACAAACCATCACCGCCATCCAGCCACCACCGTCGACAGTGGGCCAACCACCACGGACCGTCGTCGAAAAGTCATCAGAGTCCCTAAAAATGACCGAGAGTCGCTGGGAGGCTTCGATATGACCGTTTATGGCCATATTAATGGTCGAAAATGGCCATATCAGGCCAGATCTTGCCCAAATATGTAATGGCCAGGGATTTAGCCGTCAAAGGCATCTGGTCGCTAATGGCCAGCTCTGGCCTCATATGGCCGTTTTCGGCCATCAATATAGCAAAAAACGACCATAGCAAAGCCTCGTGGTCAGGGTGAGCTACTCACGACAACTTTCAGAGACTTCTAGCTGTGATTTGCGGTGGGCGCAAGCAACGACAAAGGGTGTGATGATTTTGTTATAAATTAAAGTTTTATATAAACGGTAGCTAAATCTGAAATATTGGGGGTTAAAAAAAATTATTCAAAAATTAATAATAAAAATAATATTATATTAATATTTAAAAAGAGGGCAATTTAGTAATTTAAATAACATACCCACCAATTTATTCTTCATAAACAAACATATTAATATAACATACCCACCAACTAACCAAATACATTTTTCTAAAGATTCCCAGTAATCTTCAAGGTAATATAAGATTTTAATAATCTAACATTCCCTATAATCTAACATTCCCTGAACGAAACACACCCTAAGAACATTCGACTGAAAGAGGAAGGGGGCTATGTTAACTTCCTGGAAGGATATCACAAGCTAGAGTTAGAATCAGGAACATCATCGAGAATGAAAGGACCTAGTTTACCAGTCCTAAATAAAGTAAGGAACTTTTTTGATACCATCAACCGAGCTTCAGATGCTTTATGAGGTATCTTCAAGGCCTTCTGTAGTACTTCGAACTGCTGTTCTATGAGACTCTCCAAGTCATTCTCATCTTCTACATTACCTTTGAATTCATTCAGAGTTTCATATAATGACCGCCGGACTTCTGTTACAAGATCCTGTAAATGAACAAGTAGAACACTAAAATTTAGAAATGAGACAATATCTGAAGATAACTAAAAGTTGGCAAGAGTGATATGCAGAAGAACAAGCATTATTCTTGAAAAGCAATTCTGATTAGCCATTCGTACAAATATTAATGGATGAATCTCTTCATGGTAAATTAAACATCTTTCTAACAGTTAGAAAGAAGTTAATGAGCAATATATATAATTGACATATTTAGTCTCCATATATCATAAATAATTAACAATAATTTTAATTAATCCTTTGATTTTATTACCACAGACTAATATCTGGATATAGCACGCATTTCTTTTTCTTTGAATTCTATAAAACTAAAGAAAAATTTTCCCATACAATTTAAGAATTTTCTGTAAAAGAAACTCTAACATTTCTGTAAGACCAATTATACTAAGCCCAGAGTCAGAGAAATAAAACGCCACTTCAAGATTGAGCTTAATTATGCAAATAAAATGGGAGTATTGGGTACAAATTGCAGATCAACCATCAAGGTAATGTATAAAGAATGTGGAAGTGAACAACTAAAATTATACAGAAACAAATTTTCATGAAATTAGATTTATAATTGACAAATTTACTCATAAGAAAATTATAGAAGAATACACAAAATTAGAGCATCCAATATGGAAAACCAACACGGATGAAAATTCCACACTTGCTCTGGTTAGAACCTAAAATAACTATTTTGATAGTAACAAACTAACTAAATATGTACTAGCAAACAAAAGAGCTTTTTAGGACGGAATGATGTAATTCTAAGTGATCATAAGAAGTTACAATTCTATGTAAGAAGTTCTTGAATAGTCTATGCCATCCACATTTTAGAGGGAGAGACCTTCATTACCTCAATGTAGAGCACATCTGAAATGTCAGGTGGTTTTCTCCTCTTTTGACGAAGGTCTTTAAGATTATACTCATGTTTGCCATCAGATTCGTTTTGAGACACTTCAGTTCTATTACTCAAGTGGCTCCAATGAAGGGGGGTGCCTCGAATATTTAATATTGCCAGTAAGTATTGAGTGATGCGCTCTTCACCTACCACCGAATCTTTAACGGACCCTATATATGCATTATGAAAAAACCTTGGTAAATAACGAGATCCTAATTGGCCGATCCTATAAACCATTAAAAGAATCCTGATAATATAAACCTCAATTTACATCAGTACAAACATATGGCTGAGTCAGTTTGCAGAAATTGCTTCCCAAATACCTTTCTCTAATAACAAAAGATTTAGATAAATTCTGTAGTATTTAATTCATTGCTGCAATGTAGTGCATCATGGTCAGAATCATCCTAACTTAATCTTACCAACATATAATTGTTGATAAATATAAAAGCATGTTCAGATGTTCATAAACAACATACCACAAGTGAATGAAACAATATTTAGAGGATAAAATACAGGAATTAGAACTAGAATGTAATTCTGAAAGAGGGTTCAACCTGCAAGAGCTAGCTTTAACCCTGTTTCAATATCTGGGATACTTGGAACTAACACACCTGGCGTGTCTAAAACATATATGCTAGGCCGATGGGCAATCTGTATTAAATAAGGGGGAAAAAACAGTCAACATCCAAATTTTATGAAGGGGAAGGGTTTTCATTAGGCAAAATGATAACAAGAAAAAGGCAAACCACAGAGACTAGGGAAAATGAATAGGAAAAGTTCATATTTTTTAATTTGAAAAACAAAAGAAGCTCTCTAAGAACTTGACAAATTGATACTGAAATTTTAAAGCAGCATCAGAAATAGCCATATTAATAGGTGACCAAAGGAAAAATATCTAAATAAAGGTTTAGGCAAATGATTTTTCTTCACATACTTTCATGTTAAAGCCAAAAAGAAAAGAGCCAAAGCTATGTTGCTCCCCTTTTTCTGTCAAAAAATAAAAATAAAAACGATTGCTAAGTTCACATCTTTAACTCCAAATTCTAGCAACTAAGAAAAATAGATATATAAATAAAAGCTAAAGAAGAAGACCATAGACATGACAACACGAAAGGCAAAGCCAGGCCACTGTTACCCTTTACCAATGTTATAGACAATATCATTATCTTCATCTTACAAGACTATAGAGAATTTGTGGAATATGTGTGCACGTAATCATGGGGAGAGAAAGAGAAGAAGAAGAAGAAGGGAGCTCCAGAAAAAAAAAGGACCTTGAATCCTGCAATATCTTGAGTGACACCAGGCAATGGACCTACTGTGGCTCTCTTTGTCTTCTCTTGCACTATGTAGAAGATTCAAAAATGTTATTGCTTAATAAGCATGAATTTGAGACAAAATAAACTGAAAACTTAATTGCACCAAATTTTGAGCTACATTTTAGTCAACAAAATACTGTGTAGACACCTAACATAGTTACATCTTACCAGGAAAGCGAGACAAAGCAATTCGATGGACTGAATTGATTAAAGCAGATTTCCCAACATTAGGAACACCCACCACCATAACAAGGAGTGTAGGTTCCCTTGCAATCACTTCCTTCAGTTTTAACTCCACAAGATCAAGAAGCTTCAGCAAATGAACCAGGAAGAAATATTATCAACAAGAATGCAAGTGAAAAGAGTAAATAAAATAAATCATCAATAAATTTCAACCATATATCAAGAGTCAATCAAATATAGGAAAACAACTTCATATTCCAAAAACAAAAAGACAGCTTCCAGTGTTCTGCATTTGTATACATATCAACATTTGAAGACTACATATAGTAGCATAAACCATGGTAAACAAAACCTATAGTTAACCAGTAAGACAATATGGTCTGAATTGTGTAAGGCATAGAACCTTACTGAACACATAAGCTAACCTTTTTAACAGAACTCCTACTATGAGCGTTAATTGCAATGCAATCTTGCTTGCACAAATCAAAATAGCGTACCCATTTCTGCAACAATTAAACAAATAAACATTAAATTATATTAAAATAAAATTCATGGTAAAATACCCATAACATTGAACCAGTGAAAATGAAAATATAATATAACATAAACTCCATTCATCTCCCTAAGGATTGAGCCTTTTTACTGATGGACAACTTCAATTAGAAAACAAAAATAAAGATAAATGGAGATCGTAAAAAGGATTTTCACAAATTTCAGACAAGGTTTCTGAAGAATTTCCCAACTAATGGGATCTACCTGCATTTGAAACTAATGACAATTTCCTTCGAAGATAAAATAAAATAACTCTCAGATTTTGCATCATGCAGAAGAAGAAGCAAAAAGTTTACATTCAAAATATTGGGATTGGCTAAGTCTTTCTTGTTGAGAGCAATGACACGGCGTTTGGCAGAGAGCTGAGGCTGTAAATCTGGGTGGGCCGAAGACAAAGGAATCTGCTTACGCCAAAAAGGAATGTTATAAAAAAAGAGACAAATAAAAACATAAGCAAAAGTAGAGGTGAGAGCTTGTGCACTGGACCCGAGCATCGCGGACTTCAATGACGAGGTCGGAGACTTTGAGACGGTTTTTAATGGCTCGAGTAGCGGCAGCCATGTGGCCTGGGAACCAGTTGATGATTCCACCATCTTTAGCGAACCCCATTTCTCCCAATGCTTTCTTTACTATTATTTTCTTCACCCCCATCACTTCAATTCAAACTTTAGAGACCAAAAATGTCAGGTGTTGTAATGGCTGCAAAAGGGTTTAACACAAGCAAAACATTATTCTAAAATGAAGTGTAATCCGACACCTTTAATGAGCTGAAAAATAAAACGCTCAACCAAAGTATAACCCACATAATGGTCGGCCAATTTTTAGAAATAAACCAATGAACGGACTTTGAACACAATCCATAGTAACGTATAGAGATTAGCAAACAAAAAAGGGTGCTTGGGAAACGATGATCCCACCCAAACCAAACACCATTCACTTTTAAGCACACACAGCGGAGTCCAACAGACCCAGTCCGCTCAAATTCACAAATGACAGATAAGTAAAAAGAATCTAACCAACGATTCCTTAGAGCAATTTTTCTTTTTATCTCCCATTAATATTAATACCGAACAAAAGGCAAAGAATTAGCTGAGACATAAATTTCAAATAAATAAATAGTGTACTGATCAAGCAATTCATCGAACACTTGGTGAACAACAATAAAAACTTATACAAATTCAAACATTCGGTACCCACAAAAGCCAATAACACATTACAGAGTAAACCCACTTACAAATGAAGTAAACAAAAATGATGTAAAGTTTTAAACAAAGAATAAAAAAGAAGAAATTCATACCGAAAAGTTCAATGTTGCTTCGCGAGAGAGATGGAAGTAGACAATGGAGAGGAAAGATAGGTTGGTAATCGCAAGATACTGAGAGATAAAAGATTAAAATCTGAACTTTGTTTTTACTATTTACAGAGTTAGCTTTGTTGTGTTTCGATATGAGATGCAAAGACCCCCTCTAAGACTCCCGACAAAGCTACGGGCACCGAAATAGTTGCACTGAAATTGTGTATTGATCTACGTGTAATATGCCTCTGAATTTTTTTATAATTTTTTTCTAGTGAACGGTCATCTATCAAATTTGGATGGTCATTCACTCACATGGACGCCCGTCCATATTATATGGACGGGTGTCCATATACAAGAGATGGACGTCCCCATTTAAAGGATGCCCGTCCCTGATTAAAATACAATTAAAAAATTTGTTAAATATTAGGGACGACTGTCCATTAATTTTGGACGGGCGTCCATTATTCACCCAAATATGGAAAAAAAAAAAAATCTTTGGGGACGCCTGTCCACCAATTGTGGACGGCCGTCCCTTACTTTTGACGCCTGTCCACGATTTTGCTTTTACAAATAAAAAAAACTTTTTGGACGGTCGTCCCAAAATTATGGACGATCGTCCTTTCACTGTGGACGGGCGTCCGTAAGTAATGGACGCTCGTCCATTATTTGGCTTTTACAAATCTAAATAAGAATGATGGATGCCCGTCCACAAATTGTGGACGGCCATCCATTTATTGCGGATGGGTGTCCGTAACTAATGGACGCCCGTCCAAAAGTAATTCTTAAAAAAAAAAAATTTTAACACTGGACGGCCGTCCCTAAATGGTAAAAAAACATTTAATTTTTTTTAATAAATTTTTTTTGTTTACATTAGCTACTCTAATACGCTTCTCCAACAACAAGCGCTAAAATTCTTCGAGCGAAAGAAAACCAGCGCCAAAATTCGTCGTCCCCTTCTACTTTATCGTTGCCGTCTATTCTTCGCCTTAGTGTTGCGTCTGCATTCCTCAGCCATTTCTTCCTGCAACAAACGTTTTTTCCTCATTTTCCAGCTACTGTGTGAAGAACGAAAGCTATAAACTTTTCATCAAACCATAGCCATTTTTTATAGTGGAAAGAGAGATCCATTTTTTACAGTGGAAAGGGAGATTAGAAAGATTTGTCCAGGTTAATAATCGATTTTTATATAATTTATGCATTTATTTAGTTTTTTACAGTGGAAATTTTTATATAACTTATCCATTTATTTTGTTTTGTATTATATTTTGGATTGAATCTATGTTACAATAGAAAAAAACCGATAGAGAAAATTTCTTGGTGATTGTTATGAATCAGATTTCGTGAACGTGAACACTAGTATTGAATTTGCATTAAATTATAGAATATGGAAGAGTCCAGTTTGGCTTAGAATATGGAAGAGTCCAGTTTGGCTCAGAATATGGAAGAGTCCAGTTTGGCTCAGAATATGGAAGAGTCCAGTTTGCCTCAGAATATGGAAGAGTCCAGTTTGCCTCATTTCAATGATGTTAAGGTAAATTGTGCTCGAAATGTACTTTTTCGTTAACATGATTTTAAATTTATTGTATCGTATTGTTTATTTTGATGTGTTGTATTAGTACATTCTAATTTTATGTATTATAAAACTATTAAATCAGGAAAATGAACGTGATGAATTAGAAGTTATGAGATGTGCAGAGGAAGAAGTAGAGCCTCATATTGGAATGGTGTTTGATTCAGTTGATAGTCTGGTGAAGTATTACAAATGGTATGGTAACAAAATAGGATTTGAAGCAATGATACGTACGTCAAAGAAAGGCGAAGATGGAGAGATGAGATATGTGACAGTGGCATGTTCTTGTTCTGGAAAGGAGAGATGTAAGTCCAGAAATACCTTGAAAAAATAACCTGTTGCCAAAACAGATTGTAAGAGTCGGATTAGTGCAGCTTTGAATGGTGAATGCAAATGGGAAATTAAATCAGTTGTACTTGAACATAACCATGATCTTACAAGTCCGACAAAAAGAAGATATTTCAAGGTTAACCGAACGATACAACCTTATGTGAAAAGGCGACTTGAAGTTAATGATGTGGCTGGGATTAGACCGTGTAAGAATTTTAAGTCATGTTCAGTTGAGGCGGGAGGTGTAGAGAATTTGACGTTTCTAGAAAAAGATTGTAGGAACTACATTGAAAAAGTGAGAAAGTTACGACTTGGAGTTGGAGATGCTTCCGCAGTACTTGAGTATTTTAGGAAAATGCAAAAGGAGAATTCAAATTTCTGGTACATGATTGATGTAGATGAAGAGAGTCGATTACAGAATGTGTTATGGGTTGATGCTAGATGTAGGGGTGCATATAAAGAATTCGGTGATGTTATCACCTTCGACACAACGTATCTGACGAACAAGTATGACATGCCATTTGCTGCTTTTGTGGGGGTTGATCATCATGGACATTCAACGTTGTTAGGTTGTGGGTTAATTTCTCATGAGGACACTGAGACATTTGTATGGCTATTTCGTTCTTGGCTTGAATGCATGGATGTCGCTCCTAATGGAATAATCACTGATCAAGATAAGGCCATGCAAAATGCAATTGAGATTGTTTTCCCTGGTACAAGACATAGGTGGTGTTTGTGGCATATAATGAAGAAACTGCCTGAAAAGTTAAGGGGGTATAAGGAATATGAAACTATCAAGTTTAAGTTGCAAAATGTTGTGTATGATTCCTTTACGCGTGAAGAGTTCGAAGAGCGGTGGAACCAATTTGTTGATGTGCACAATCTTCATGATAATGTATGGTTATGTGGATTGTACAAAGAAAGAGTACGATGGGTGCCTGCATTTCTTAAAGATATTTTATGGGCAGGTATGTCTACTACCCAACGTAGTGAAAGTATGCATGCATTTTTTTATGGGTATGTCAATTCCAAAACCACTTTGAAACAATTTGTGGAACAATATGATAATGCATTGCGAGCTAAAGTGGAAAAAGAAAGGGAGGCTGATTTTAGATCTTTCAAATCTTGGATACCATGCATAACTAATTACCCCATTGAGAAACAATTTCAAATTGCATACACAACTGCAAAGTTTAAAGAGCTTTAAGATGAGATTGCGGGGAAGATTTATTGTGAGTTATCTTTTCTAAAAAAATGTGATTCATGCGAGGAGTTTCAAGTTTGGGAAGATGTTTGGTTTGGAGATAATAGTCGCCGTGTTCCTCATGCAGTATACTTTGAAGAAAGTTCATGTGATATTCGTTGTACTTGTCAGTTGTTTGAGTTCAGGGGGATTTTATGCAGACATGTCATTATGGTGTTGATTCATAAAGGGTTTCACACGTTCCAGAAAAGTACATTTTACGACGTTGCAGGAAAAATGTGAACAGATGTCATACGAAAATTAAGGTCAGTTATAATAGGTGGAGCACCAACATTGAAGGATAACGTTTTGATAAGTTGTCTAATTTAATGCTGACAATAGCGGATCTGGCATCAAACAATGAGGAAGATTATAATATGATGATGGAGTTTATGATTGACATGAGGAAACAGTTGGAGCAAAAGGAAAGTGAGGGAGGGCTTGGTACAACAGTGAACATCTCTTCCAGAACCGGTTTGACTAGTCAAGATGGGGACAATCCCCCTAAAGAGGGGAATACCCTAATCATTAGTCCACAGACAGCTTGTAGCAAAGGTCGTCCTCCATGTAGAAGAAAGCAGTAGAAGATTGAAGAAATTATACGTTGGGTTAAAAAGAAAAAATTACAAAAACAAAGAATGGGTATGACTTATACATTATTTCAGTATTTTTATGAAACATTATTTACTTATTTGAAGTTTAGAATAATTTCAACTTGATTATTAATGTGTTATGATACTTTTTAGGAAAAGGATCATCGGTGATACTTTTTAGGAAAAGGATCATCGGTACAGCGACAAAAGGAACAATTTCTTTTATATACTTCCGTGGCCGATGCAGAAACTCAAGTGTTGTCAAACGATGTTGTTACTACATAGGTATGTGTTATGTATCTTGTATAATTGTAATTGCCTTAAGTTTTCTATAACGTGTGCTAAATTGTGGTTATTAAACAATGACAGATGTCCACTGCTCCGGTTCCAAATCTCGCAGGACAAAGTAATTTCTATACTAGACAGGAGTTTGTAAATGATGAACATGTCTCGTTAGGAGATGTTTGATATTTTTGCCAGGTTGGAGCATATAGAATTGTATTTGGTAGAAATTTTTCATGCTTTGGTTAATTTCTACCGAATGCAGTTGAGTTGTATGCGTATACAGTTGTTTTATTTTTTGTATTTTCGTCATTGATTGTGTAGGATAGTGAATTCATGATAATGACGTTAATGTAACTTATTATGAGTGTTTTCAGTATATACTATCGTCACATTGTAGACTCCGGTTGTACATGGCATTTTGGATATGCATTTCTTTTGAGATTTGAATTTTTATGCCTTTGGGTATGTCTAGTATTACATATACATTGAAAAGAGTTGTTGACATATGTATAAACAAAGACAAATCTATTTATAAACAAAAGATAGATTTATTTATAAACAAACTACAATCTTTATTAACAACATCCGCTCAAATCAATCTATTTATAAACAAAAGGGAAAAATTCTTCATCATGGTGCAGGGGGTGGAGGTTGACTGGAGGATGAGGAGGCTGTTGAGAGGTTCTTCATCATGCTGAAAATCTCTGTCATGCGGTCTCCAATGATGTCAACTGTTTCGTCAATTCTTGATGTAAACATGTTGAAATCACTTTGCAATTGATCATGTTGTTCTTGCATTTGCCTCTCAATACGTGAAAAACGCTCCTTTTGAAACTTTTCCGTCCACTCAAATCTGCTTTCTATTCCCTGTAAAGTATGAGAAGCCATATCTTCTACATTCTCAGATGGTCCAGTTTCAGTACTCGTTCTTCTTTTTTTGCGCACATAGACTTGTCCTTCAGTAACCCCTTCTGGAATACTGACACCTTCCTAAACCGTTGCATCTCTCTCCATTTCATCCCTAATCAGATACCATTGTCCTACCACATTCTTTTTAATCAAACCCATTCTATTCAATGTCACATCCCCCAACACATTAGTCGTAGAAAACGTAATCTTATTTGTTGCATCATCAGGGGTGATCTCAATATTCAAC